CATTGGGGTCAATGTGTCCGTATTGGGATCAATGGGGTTGCTGTGATTGGGTGATGGATGAGCTCTGGGCGTGGCCTATGAAACGTGGGCGTGGCTTTGAGAAAGCGGGCGTGGCCTGATGTTTGGGGGCGTGGCCTTGGGGGGGGACCACAAGATCTTAGAGGGCAGTGGGCGTGGCCAGTGAGAATGTGGGCGTGGTTGGTCTGAGAGGGCGTGGCCTGGAACGGCGCTGATTGGCTGAAGAGCAGAGGGTGGGGGCGTGGTCTGTAGTAAGGCTATTGGTGTGCAGAGTGGGCGTGGCCTGCATGGATGTGGGCGTGGTCAGAGCGTGTGGGCGTGGCCTAAAATCGGGGCTTCGAATTGAGGCTCTTCTTAAATGGGCGGGGACAGGGCAGGTGGGCGTGGTCTAAGACTTTGGTGGGCGTGGCTTAGGCGGATGTGGGCGTGGCCTGAGAGAGCCTAGGCGAGGCCTTGTTGGGCCTTGAATGGAGTTCCTGAGGCAATGGGTGGGGTCAGGGCGTGGTGGGCGTGGCCTATGGGGACGTGGGCGTGGCCTGAAGGAAATGTGGGCGTGGCCACGTTTAATCTGGGCGAGGCCTGACTGTGGGCGTGGCCCAATTGGGGAACTTGCCTTGAATGGACTTTCGGGTGGGTGTGGACTATGGAGGGGTGGGCGTGGTCTGAGCAGGTGGGCGTGGTCTGAGCAGGTGGGCGTGGCCTGGAATCGAGCCCATGGAGCAACAGACGGGGGTGGGGCTGGGTGGGCGTGGCTTTATGGATTGTGGGCGTGGCCTGTGGGGATGTGGGCGGGGACAACATTGGGTTTGTGGGCGTGGTCTGCGTAGGTGGGCGTGGCCAAATGAGCTCACGTGGCCTGGAACGCAGTCCATTGAGGAACAAGCGGGGTCTGGGTGGGGTGGGCGTGGCTTATAGGGGTTGTGGGCGTGGCCTCAGGGGTGTGGGCGGGACCTGTGTGTGATGTGGGCGTGGTCTGTCGGGCATGGGTGTGGTCTGCACGAGTGGGCGTGGCCAAATGGGCTCACGTGGCCTGGAATGGAGTCCATTGAGGATCAGGCAGGGTCGAGGCCGGGTGGGCGGGCCTATGGGGGAGTGGGCGTGGCCTATGTGTGATGTGGGCGTGACCTACAGCGGTGTGGGCGTGGCCAAATGGGCTCACATGACCTGGAATGGAGTCCATTGAGGAGCAGGGGGGTCGAGGCCGGGTGGGCGTGGCTTATGGTGATTGTGGGCGTGGCCTATGTGGTATGGGCGTGGTCTGAGCAAGTGGGCGTGGCCAAATGGGCTCACATGACCTGGAATGGAGTCCATTGAGGAACAGGCAGGGCCGCGGCCGGGTGGGCGTGTCTTATGGGGACTGTGGGCGTGGTCTATGGTTTGTGGGCGTGGTCTGATCCGGTGGGCGTGGCCTGCTGGGCGTGCATGGCCTTCAGTCTATTGCCCAACAGACGGGGTTGGGTCCAACTGGGCGTGGCTTATGTGTTTGTGGGCGTGGCCTATGTGTGATGTGGGCGTGACCTACGGCGGTGTGGGCGTGGTCTGAACAAGTGGGCGTGGCCAAATGGGCTCACGTGGCCTGGAATGGAGTCCATTGAGGAACAGGGGGGGTCGAGGCTGGGTGGGTGTGGCTTATGGTGATTCTGGGCGTGGCCGATGTGTGATGTGGGCGTGACCTACAAACGGTGTGGGCGTGGTCTGAGCAAATGGGCGTGGCCAAATGGGCCCACGTGGCCTGGAACGGAGTCCATTGAGGAACAGGCGGGGCCTGGGTGGGGTGGGCGTGGCTTATAGGGATTGTGGGCGTGGCCTTTGGGGGTGTGGGCGGGGCCTATAGTGACGTGGTTGTGGTCTGAGCGAGTGGGCGTGGCCAAATGGGCTCACATAGCCTGGAATGGAGTCCATTGAGGAACGTGAGGGGTCGAGGCCGGATGGGCGTGGCTTATGGTGATTATGGGCGTGGCCTATGTGGTATGGGGCGTGGTCTGCGCAGGTGGGAGTGGCCAAATGGGCTCACGTGGCCTGGAATGGAGTCCATTGAGGAACAGGCGGAGTCGAGGCTGGGTGGGCGTGGCTTATGGTGATTCTGGGCGTGGCCTATGTAGTTGTGGGCGAGGTCTTATCAGGTGGGCGTGGCCAAATAGGCTCACATGACCTGGAATGGAGTCCATTGAGGAACAGGCGGGGTCTGGGTGGGGTGGGCGTGGCTTATGGTGATTATGGGCGTGGCCTATGCAGTTGTGGGCGTGGTCTGAGCAAGTGGGCGTGGCCAACTGGGCTCACATGGCCTGGAATGGAGTCCATTGAGGAACAGGCAGGGTCGGGGCTGGGTGGGCGTGGCTTGCCGGATTGTGGGCGTGGCCTCGTCGAGGTGGGCGTGTCCTGACGTGGCCCCGCCCCCCTCCCCCACTCCCCCCGCAGCCCTGAACAGCCTGGAGGGGGAGTTCAAGGGCCGCTATTACCCGCTGAAGGCGATGACGGAGCAGGAGCAGCAGCAGCTGATCGACGACCATTTCCTCTTCGACAAACCCGTCTCTCCTCTGCTGCTGGCGTCCGGAATGGCGCGGGATTGGCCCGACGCCCGCGGCATCTGGTGGGT